TGGGTTGAATTGAATGGCATCACTTTGTGATTGATCAGACCTCAGGAAAAAAAATCACCTACTTTAGAGCAGCCTTCCCTAGCATTCTGACCCTCTTTGCACACACGAGGTCAAGGGTGCTCAGAGAGGTTACTTCCTTGCTCCAGGTCACACAGCATGTCTGTGTTTTTAGCTAATTGATGAGCTGTGACTGGGGTGGAAAGGAAGGTGAAGCAGTATCTATGCAGAGGCAGAAAGCTCAGCTCTAAAGGCCCTGCCATCTCAGCCATGGGACAGGGGGGACAGGGGCCACCTCAGAATCCGAGAAGTGAGCTAGGAAAATTGTTCCTGTGGGTATGTATAATTAGAAGTTTCTATGAGGCCTTAGTCCAGACTAGAACTCATGAGCCATACTCAGCACGGTCCACCCACCTCTGCCCACCTACTTGGGTTATTCTGCTCAGATTGGGTAGAGCTGGCTGGACGTTAGCAAAGCCTTGGCCTCCGCCTTAAACTCGCCCTCTGCTTGATGCTGGTTTACCTCCCCCACCACCCCCCGGTGCTGCACGGGACGGGAGTGGGAGCCATATTCCACAGGGACCAATCGAAGGACTCCAGACAGGCTGTTTTGTCCAGAGAAGTGTGTGCTGGGGGGGCACGGTGAGCAACAGTGTCACCGTCTCCGTGACTGGCAGGTTCTGGGGCTGAGCGGAATAGAGGCCAGAGACAACGTGGGGTCACAGAGCGTAGGTAAGGTTCCGCTCTCCAGTGAGTGCTCTTCCTGCCCCTTGGGCATCCCTCCTGCCCGGCCCCGTGCTGACCGGGCTCTGTCTTTTGCCTTCTCTGTATCCACCTTTAGTGATCCCAGCCAGTCCTAGGGCTCCACACACCATGTTTGCTCAGCGTATCAGAAAGCCTGCTGTGCCTTGTGCTGTAATGACTGTCAAGGCCAGGTGGCTGGATTCGGCTGCTAACAAACACATGGAATTCCTCGTTAGATGCAGATAGCAAAGGACAGCCGAGCCAGACCCCAGGTCCCTGCATTCCACATCCCGCAGGCTGACCCTGAAACAGAAGGGGTAGGCGACTGTCGACTGTCGCAGGGGTAGTGGGACACCCCGGGCCGAGCTTTCCTGCTATAGCTGCACCCCCGGCAGGGGAGGAAGGTAATGCAGGAAGCCTCAAACCTCATCAGACCCCCGGGGATGGGAGCCACGCAGCCTCGTGGCGGCAACTCCCACACCTCCTATGCTCGCCTGTCCTGGGGGAACCACAGGGCGTTCGGCCAAGACCCAGAGCAGCCGTGGGGAAGCCTTGCCTCCGAGGCCTATGTAACTATGTGCAGGGGCTTCTGGGCACAGGCTGGGAGCTGTTCCCGTCCAGGGACAGCCAACCCTGAAGTCTCGGGGGTCTGCAACACAAGGTCTCGTTCCTGGGTGCGGCACCCATGGGCTGAGACTGTGCTCCACGCTTGGGCCTTCTTCCCCCCTGCCCCCGGTGGGCAGGGCAGCCACTGGGGGGTAGGCTCGCTCGCAAGAGGGGAACCACCCGATGGCTCTTGAGCCGCCGCTCAGAAGTGGTCGCAGCAGGCCCGGGGTGGGGCCTGACGCCGGTGGAGAAGGCAAGTATAACCTTTTCAAAGTGTGGGGGGCGGGCAGTGGGTAATTGAGCCAACAATGTAATCTGACTCCTCTGATACCTCCAATCCTGATGTGGGACTGATGCTGAGCTCCCCCCAGAAGTTCCAGACCTGAGCAAACCACTGTCTCTGGCTCAGCTCCACCTGCTACATCAGAGGCAACTTACAAGTGACCCCAAAATCCTGATTCCCTCCAACCCAACCGGCTTGTCCCCCATTTTGGTTGAGGGCACCACCAGGTACTCAGCGGTCCTGGTCCCAGGCCCAGAAGTCACACCGACTCCCTTTGGCCCTTCCTGCCTTTGCCATGTGCTGAGCTGGGGGACAGGGGGGCACGGACATGAATCCTGCCCTCCAGCTCAGTCTAGACACCACTACAGACGATGACAACCACGAGCAGGGGGGCCGTGGTGGAGGGAGGCACAGCAATGACAGTTCCATTTCATCCTCACGAACGCACGGTGGGTGTATTCTGCATCCCACTCACGGCACCTTGTTTACAAATGAGGACACAGAGCCTGCATGAGGCGCAATGGGTCGCCTAAGGCCTCCTGGCTGACAGGTGAGTCAGATCTGTCTGATTCCAGAGAGGCCGTGCTTTACTCACGAGACCAGCAGCCTCTCCCAACGGAGTCTCCTCGGGGCCAGAAGCAGGGCCTCGTTAGTGGTCCCTGGGGAGAGGAGACTCATCACCAAGGGAGCTGGGTCCTGCCTGAGCAATGGACGAGCGACCATTCATTTGCTCACTTACTCATGGCCCCAGCACGTGTCTGCCCATCTGCATTCCAGCGGCTTGGTCCCTTCAGCTTTTGTGTCATGAGCTGGTGCTAAAGTGTCTCCATAGCTGGAAGTTCATATTCCCCAGAGCCTCAATCAGCCAGGCCGGTGGAAAGAGGACTTGGCATCAAGAGACAGCCACTGACCAGCTGGTCCAGGGAGGGGGGAGTTGCTGCTAACAGAGAGGGGCTCAGGTTACCTGGGGGTCTTGCTTTTCAAATGGGGGAGCGGAGGGAATGGATCCAGTCCCAAATCCATAGAATAATTCTGGGGCCCTCTCCACAGTGACCAATGCACTCCAGCTATTTTGATACTAAAATACAGGTGGGGTGCCTGGGTGGTTCAGTCATTAAGCGTCTGCCTTCGGCTCAGGTCATGATCCCAGGGTCCTGGGATCGAGCCCCGCGTCGGGCTCCCTGTTCAGTGGGAAGTCTGCTTCTCCCTCTCCCTCTGCCTCTGCTTGTGTTCCCTCTATCGCTGTGTCTCTCTGTCAAATAAATAGATAAAAATCTTTTAATCAATCAATCAATCAATCAATAGGTGACACTGCTGGTGGGAATGCATAATGGTACGGCCACTTGGAAAACAATTTGGTGGTTCCCAGAATGTTAAACATAGAATGGCCATGTAACACAGCAATTCCACTCCTAGGTACATACCCAAGACATCTGAAAACAGGTGTTCACACAAGTACATGAAGGCGCATGCTCAGAGCAGCACTGTTCTAAATAGCCAAACAGTAGCGCGATAACCAAGTGGTGGAAATAATCCAAATGTCCACCAATGGATGAACGAGAGATCCATACGACGGACTACTTACTACTCAGCCATAAAAAGGAACAAAGCTCTGACATCTGCTACAATGTAGGTGAACCTCAAAAACAGGATGCTAAGTGAAAGCAGCCAGGCACAAAAGGTCACACATTGTATGACTCCATTGATATGAAATGTCCTGAGTAGGTGAATCCATAGAGGCAGAAAGCAGATCCGTGGCTGTCAGGGACACGGGGTGGGGGAGGAGGAAATGGGGAGTCACTGCTTCGTAGATACAGGGTTTCCTTTTGGGGTGATGAAAACATTCTGGAACTAGGTAGAGGTGATGGTTGCATAATGTTGAGAATGTACTGAATGACACTGGTTTGCTTTGAAATAGTTTCTTTTATGTTATGTGAATCTCATCTCAATTAAAAATAAAATAAATACAGGCATGTCATAAAGCAGAATGCAAACTTGCATGAATTTCCAACAACAGCAGACTTCCAGGGAGCTTTGCCTCCCCTCTGCTGCTGCTGGGGATTCTCCGAGAGAAGCTCTGGAAGGACTGTCCTAACTGAGGCAGGGCTGGGGAGGATGCACAAGACGGGGGAAGCGGGAATTCCAGTGGCTGCCCAGGCCAGCGTCCTGTGTTCCGGAAGACAGTCTTGAGGGATTGGGAGCTGGTCCAAGGCACACCCAGGCTGGAGGCCCTCTTGAGAGCAGCACCATCACTCCCTCCCGCCCCCCACTGCCCAGGGACTGGGCTCCTCTCAGCTCCTGGGACCCTCAGCTGCTCTGGCTTCTCCTGACCCCACCCTTTAGGTTTCTTCCCACAGCTTCTGCCTCCAGCCTCCTCAGCTTTGGAACCCTCTAGCGGATCTGTGCCTGCCTCAGCATCTGTGCCCCCAGAGGACGATCCGGGGCCCTCAGAGCACCCCATCCGACCACTGCTGGTGAAGGCCAGTGGGGAACATGCTGCCACTCAGGAATGAGGTCTTCCTCACAGCTGGCGGGTAGCGTTCCTGCTTTATAACCCCAGTCCTGCTCTGACAAATTTCTCCTTTTGGTGATGGGAAGTGGGACTGTGACTCGTTTTGCACATTCCCCAAAGGGAAGTGGTCTTGCTACCTGGCTCAGAAGACAGAAGTGAGTCATCTGAGCCGAGAAGCAGGACTGGGAGAGTCCCTTCACCCCCCAAGTGGACTTGGTGCCCCTCTTCCAGGTCCCGAAGCCTCTTCTGCCCGCCCACCATGGGGCCTTCAGGGAAAGCTGAGAAGGAGCCTTGAAATCAGCCATTTACATCAGCCCATTTTTCGGATGAGGAAGCTGAGGCCCAGAGGGAAGGAGATGGCTTCTAGGGGTGACAGGAGCCGCCAAAAGCTGCCCCAGGGGGTCCAGTTGGCTTCCAATACCTCATAGCCAGCGAACCCCAAATACCATCTAACGACTGCATGCACAGCCCGTCTCTCAGGACCCCCCAGCTCATGAGAGGCGATCAGGGTGGGACTGGTTCCCCCATCTTCCAGATGTTCTGACAGCCCCGGTTTTCCTAACCCTCGCCACTTCTTCTCTGACTGAAAATTAGCCCCCTGCCCCACCCTCTAGAGAAACAATCCAACCCCTCCCTGTGACATCGACTCATTCACTCATTCACCATCTCACTCGTTCATTCGGTACATCTCTATTGAACTCAGAGTCTTGGGAAAATTTTATTAAAAGTATTCCTGCAAGTTGGACCAACGTGCCCGGTTCCTCCGCGGGTGGGGTCAGGGCATGAGCGCCTGCCGCGCGCAGACCCCTGGGCGAGGCCAGGCGGGGAGATGCGGCCGCCCAGGGGTGGTGCGCAGGTTCAGTCCTGGAGCTTGCGGCTGTATGCCTCAGCCCGGTCCAGCGGCGGCCCCCGGTTCGCAGACGTGTGCGCGGCCTCCGAGGTCCCCAGGGACCTGGGGACGGCCTCCTGCGTGATCTGGGAGTCGTGTGTCGTTTCCCTGTCCGAGCTGCCCGGGTCCCTGACCGAGGGGATGGAGAAGGTGAGGGTGAGAGCCACAGAACAAGCCCAACCCCCTCCAGCTGGTCAGGAACGTTCTACTTAGACCCTGCTTTCACAGATGCTGTCTTCTGCATGCGCAGCAAAGAATGACCGGACAGAATGGGCAAGTCTAGGTGGGAGGCACGGGAAGGCTTCCTGGAGGAGCGAACAGTTCCTATGCCCTGAAGGAGGAGCGTGGGGGCTAAGAAAGGCATTCCAGGCACGTGATAGGAAGGGCTGAGAGTTCTGGGGCAACACTGGGAAGTTTGGTGGAGCTGGAGCTGGGGTGGGGCAGAGGGGGTAAATGGAAGAGTCGGGCCCAAGTCGGACAACAGGACCTTTGGTGACGGAAGAACGTGTTGTCCAAAAGGAGGCAAGGACATAAGCATGTCCTGACGGCTCCCAGGTCTGGCCAGACAGACCAGACTCTCGGTGGCTAATCTTATATCTATTATTTGTTACTTAATTATTACTTAAATGTCAGAGGGCAACGTGATTTGCAAGTCCACTGCCCCCCTACTCCATCCCCCACCCACATGGCTTTTTCCACATGGCTAATTCCTGTGTCCACTTAATCTCACCTACTCCAAGAAGCTTTCCCGTCTGCTCCCCCGATCCACACTGGGACAAGCACCCCACCCTCTTCAAAGCCTCCCGGGGGCTCCCTCCCTCTCGCTGAGAAGCACATGATTCATCCCTGTCCTGAAGAGACTTTGCTCCTGTTGTTCCTTCCTCCAGGAAGCCCACCCTGGTGCTCCAGGCAGGATCTTCCTCACCCTCCTCCAGATTCCCACAGCACCTGCTGGTGCCTTGATTCACCCCCTGTGCCAGCCTCCCAGGATTAGTGGATTGTGTGCACACCTGACATCCGCTCCAGACACCCACAGGAGACCTAACCCAACATCAGAGCTATTGGTAGTGTCAGGAGACCAGGGCTCTGGCCCCAGCTCTGTTTTAACTGGCTGTGCGACCTTGGGCCACCCTTAACCCCTCTGGCCTCAGTTTCCCCACCTGTCCAGCCAGTGAGTGAATTATGACAACAGAAGCTAATAGCTGTTGAGTATCCAGGTGCTGCCCTAAGAACTCTGTAAGGATTATGTCACTTAACCGTCATGACTCCACATGGAGGATAAGATTTATTAATATCCCCATTTCCCAGATGAGGAAGTTGAGGCGTAGAAGGAGAGGTGTCGGAGCTGAGACCCTCCCACACAGCCCCGCTGCTGAGCCCCTCCCTAACCCAGCTGAACGACCCCAGGACACTGCTCCCCTCTCACCAGACCCAACCCCACCCAGGGTGGAAGGCAGCTCCCTTGCCTTCTGGGCTCGCCCCTGCCTCGGGAGACCCTCTGGGTGGAGCGTGTCCAGGGTGCCCCCGAGTCTTGCCCTCCAGCTGGCGGATACTCACAAAAGGCTGAGGACGATGGCGCCAGCAAAGGCGATGAGCAGGAAGAAGGGCAGGGAGCCCAGGATGGACGTGATGACGATCATGCCCCCACTCCGCCGGCCCGGCCACGTGTCAATCTCTGAGGACGGGGTGACTAACAGGACACAGGCCCACTTACTCCCCAGACACTGCACCCCTCAGCCTTCTCCCGGGACACACAGGGGGCCCCCCAGCCTGGCAGCCTCAGATCTCAGGATGGAGTGGGGACCCAGGTCAGACTCTGTCTCCCCCCAGGTCCGGGGTGCAATTAACTTGCTTGCCCCACCCCTACTTCCCAACTCCCTCGTGTGTCTCGTCTCTTCCTCTTTTAACTGTCTTTCTGCATAATTTTAAATTCAAAATGAACTCAACTCCTCTGGCGAAATGGATGGGACACGGATTATAAACAATTAAAGATGCGACAAAGGGCCTGGGTCTAAGGGAGTTGGATGCACCAAGGGTCCCCCTCTGCTCTGGTCCGCGTCGCCCTTCTGGAACTAAGTGAACAGTTTATAGGTCCTCCTGTGAGCCGGCTGCTTTCTGGCCACTGTCCCATGTAGACCCGACAAGACCCTCGTTCTGTAGATCGCTCACTGCCGCTGAGGGAGGTTGAGTTCCTGTTCAAGGGCACTCAGACTCCAGACTCAAGTCTATAGGCCTGTCTGGTCCCAAAGGGCATACTCTCCCCACAAACTGACCTCAGGCCCTGCCCAAAAAGAGCCAGGCCTAGTGCTTTTGTCTGGGTTACTCCAAGGAACCCTGCTGGGCAGGCAGAGCAAAGATTTTTCTTCCCACTTCTCAGATGTAGAGACTGAGGTCCTAAGGGGTTCACAGAGCAGTGAGGCGCAGAGGCTGGTCTTGAACTCAGCACTTTCGGTCCCAGGGTAGCCCTGTTGCAGGGGGATGGCAACACATGGGCATGCCCCTGGAAGGGCAGGCAGGGGGCCACCCCAGCCACACGCGTGTGCACACATGCCTGTCTGTCTATGCCCTTCACTAGCCGTGTGACCTCAAGCAACCTGTCAGAGCTACTGCATGCCCTGTAAGCTTACCATGGGGCGGGGGCGCTCTACAGGTGAAATTCTCGGCTCTAGGCTGAGCCCATCATAGCATGAAGTCTCATCTTGGGGGCCAAGGTATGGGGGAGGGTGCTCTAAAGTTAGGGTCGGGTGCTGTCAAGATTACCATCTGAAATCTCTTCTGTTGCCCTCAGGTTCTGTAGACACGATTCTGGGTATAAACCTTGGATGGTGTTGAGAACCCAGATGGAGGCTTGAGGAGGGACAGGGCAGGACCACAGGCAGATGCCTGGGCCTCTGAGCCCCCTACCTTTAGGAAGCCCACCCAGTCTCCAGAGAACGGGGTGGAGAGGTGGGCAGCACTCCTGCTCCCTCCCAGGCTCACCCCCTGCACCGGGTCCTAGCCTCCGGAGCCATCCAGAACCATCAGGATCCATCTCACATGGCTGTGAGGTCTCAACGAAGGGGTGGGTTAGGATGGAAAGACAGGGTAAACTCCATGCCCCTTGGCGGCAAATACCTTGACTTCGGTCATGCCAGCCTATCCTTCACCTGCCTCTGCCACAACACCTGGCCCTCAGGGAACGGAGGGGGAGGGGGGATTTCAGGTCAAACCATTTCAAGATGCATTTTCCTCAACAACCCGACAGCCTGCCTGTGTCTGGGGAGAGCTTTCTGAGTGACAGCCTGAGTGTGTTTTCCCACGTTCCCCTGAGGGTCGCCCCCCAGCCCAGCCCCGCCCCATCACTTACGCCGCTTGGTGCGGATGGGGTCGGACCACAGGGTCTGATCCTGTACCAAGCCCGTGGACATATTGACAAGGACGTACTGGAACCTGTAGGGAGACGGAGAGAGGGGGACTTCTGTCCATCCTGTGTGCCCAGCCACCGGCAGGTGGAGGGATTAGGATGGCGGGTGGGGGGGCGCAGAGGGGGTCCATCTTGGAGATGGAAGTTTAGACGGCCACAGGGTGGGCTCTGCGCAACAGGACAGCGCTGGACTTGGCCTTGGCGCCGTCCCCCGCTTTCCCGCCCCTGGACCCTTTCCATGAAGACTTCGAGGTCAGTGGCCTTCCTCTCAGCTCTCCCTCCGGGGCCCCCGTTTCTCTATTAGCTACAGGATGAGTGTAGCATATTTGCTGAATAGCGACCAATTTACCCTCTCAGCATTCTTGCCTTCCACCATTCCCAGCCGGCTCCTTGGTGTCACAAAAGGGACTTTAAAAAAAAAAAAAGTAATAATATTCATTCCCAACCCAACTGCCCTGGGACAGGGCTGCCCTTTTTCTGTAGAAAGCCCCAGCTGAGCGTCACTAATCATAAAGGAAGATCACCACAAGGTTCCCAGAGCCCACCTGGGGCCTCAGATACGGTCAGTTTAAAATGATGGCTACTCTGAGAACTCAAAAACCAACAGCCTCTCATTTAACACTTAAAAAAAACAAAGACCCTTAAAATCTCTACAGCCTCCAGTGTTTTGCCTAATCTCCTATTTCTCTGACTTTGAAGAGGAGAATTCCAGAAGCTGAGATATGTGCTTTTGTGTCCCCCCAGGTAGGAGGTTTGAGGAGGTAGGGGGAGGTTTTCCCACATTGAGAACAAGCTCAGAGGTAAGAGGTTGAGGGTGGGGACCAGACACTAAGGCTTTCATCCTGCCCTGTGGCCAAGGCCAAAGGAGAGGCAGAAGCCCTCCGACAGGACGGCGGGGGAGCGATGGTCTGGGCCCCCAGTGTGTCTAGCAGGTGCAGAGACTCGGCCTTAGGAGTTTCCACAGTAACGGGAGTGGGTGTACCCAAGGCTTTGGCACCAGGCGAGACCCCATGGCCACGGATCAGGCCTGAGCCCCGAGCTCTGCACGGAGAAGAAATAAGTGTGGAAAGGAATCAGGGACCCGCTGGGGCCAGGAGAGGGGCCACAAAAGGATATGGCAGAAGGAGGCAGGAAAAAGCAGAAGATGAGGTGGGAGCTGGAAAAGCCTTCAGCGCGGCTCTAGCTCGGGTGGGGCCGCTGCTTTTCAAGCGGTGACCCCCCTCCCTCTCCGGACCAGCTAGTTTCCTCCCCTGGCAAATGAAGCAGATTGGGTAAGTGACTGCCACGCGGGTGATGAGCCGGGACCAGGCACAGAATTTGTGGAGCCCGGGGCAAAATGAAAACGCAGGTCCCCTGTTAAAAAACAATGAAGAGTTTCAAGATGACAGCAGCAGAGGATTAAGCCAAGCGGGGGTCCTTCTGAGTGCATGGGCCCTGGCCCGGTCGCACAGCCCAAAGCACGCCCCTTCGGGAGACTAGGGACAGTCCTGGCACAAGAAATGTGGCCTCGCACGCCTCACCCCTCCTGGGTCTCCCTGAGTGGGGATGGGAGCATAACTGCCCCGCCCCCGCAGCCGCTCACACCCACCTGTATTCCGTGGCTGCCGACAGGGGCGGGTTGCAGAGGCCCCGGAAGTTGGGGTCTGACAGGCAGGTTCCATTGGCGCCCACCCTGATGAGGTATGCATTCAGGATTTCCGAGGCCCGGGCCACGTCCGCTAGGGCATCCAAGCTGGGCAGGTCGCTGCAGGGGGCCAGGTCAAAGGCCGCGGCCTTGTAGGGGCCCGTCCTCCCTCCCTCTGTCTGCTGGAACGTGGAGCTCAGCGGGGTCCTGCTATGGTCCTGCACGGAGGCGTTCCTGGAGCTGGCTGCAGAGACAGCGTCAGCAGTGAGGCTCCTGGCCACCCCGGCTCAGCCGGTCACCCAGTACCCCCGAACATCCTCTCTGAGCTAGTGCTGTGCTGGGCCCTGGGGTCCCAGTCGGAGGCAGGGTCAGGCCCTACTCAGGGGCTCCCTGTGCATTGGAGGCAGATAGACAGGAGCACCGCCGACTTTGGGCAGGAGGAAGGCTCCTCTTTCTACAGGCCAGTGAGATCTTAACGGGTCCTCCCACCCCTACAGACTTCCATCATTTTCCCCCTGAGAGGCTGGGCCCCCCCGGCCCCGGCCAGTGAAATGGGAGAGAAGCAGCCCGCAGTGTGCACAGAATGGGCCCCGGGCCCAGGTGATGGCTCTGAATGAGCTGCTGTAAATGACCGGCTGCCAGAAATGTAGAGGCTGTCACTGGGTTCCTTCTCCCAGAAGCCCAGGATTGCTCCGGGGAATGGGCGGGGCTGGCCCAGAGCATGTGGGTCCAAGTGCATGGTTCCCCTTGCCAACACCAACTGTGACCCACCTGCAGAAGCCGGGGAAAGGGCTGGGGCTTGAGGCACCACAGAGATCTGAGCTCACTTTCCAGCCTGGGAGCTCCCGTGAGTTATCCCACCTCTATGAGCCTTGATTCCTTGCTCTGTGATGGGACAGTTGGCTTGCAGGCTGGTTGTAAACATTAGCACCAAGGTACGCGAAGCACCGAGCATGATGTATGTGCTCAGTGATGTGTACTGTCTTTATTTCTCCACTAGCCTGCACATCTCTCCAGGGCAAAGACGTGTGTGTGGCCGCACCATGCAGCCCAGGGCTGGCCCAGGGCAGGCCCAGGTGCCTGTCAGTGAGGTACCTGGGTGTGTGTGTGGGGGGGGTTGAATGATAGAGCTAGAGCATCCCACTACCAGCCTCCTTTCCTCCTCCCTGCAGAAAGACCAAAGCCCCTTTCAGCTCAGCCGAAGGGAAGAGAACCCTTACCTAGGTCGACGAGGACATAGAGGTAGATCTCATAGTTGCTACCAAGGGCCGCTGAGCTGTCAAACATGCAGAGAGGCTTTTCCAAGGCCACAGTGGTGAGGGTGGGGTTGTTGGTGGCAAAGGTCATGCTGGCCAGTTGGGGCTGGAGGTGCACACCTAGAAGAGGCAGTGAGGACAGGAGCTGACCCCCAGTAGAACTGTCCACACCCATGGGCACACTCTGTGCCCCGCATGTCTGCATACAGTTACTGGGCACCTAGGGTGTGCCAGGCACTGGGGTTCACCCTCCCCATGGGCCGTCTGAGGAATTTGTCTCAGACCCAGGCAGCTCTCCTGCCCCCACCAGCCATCCCCCGCCCCAGAAACCAAGCAGTCCAGCCTAACTACTGCCCTCTCTCACCACCCACAGATGGTCAGTTGCCAAGAACCCCACTGCCTCTCCTAAGCATCTCTTCACCCAGTCAGCGCAGTCTGGGAGTCCCACTCTCTTTACTTGGACCCCAGAAACAAGCCTCCCCCCCAAGTCCTTTGCTCTCTAACGTGCAAATCTGACCCTGTCACTCTTCTGCTGGACCCCTTCTGTGGCTCCCCACTGTGTTGGAGGGGCCTCCAACATGGTCCACCCTCTCTGGAAGGGCACCAAAGTCCCAAAGCTCTGGGCTTTGCTTCCTTGGGTCTCCAGCCTCACCCCAAGCACGCCCCCCACCTCACCCCACCCCATCCTACGCTCCAGCCACGCTGATGGACCAATCAAGAGAATCCCACGATGGACCATGCCGCCTCCCTCCTTGAACTTGCCCTCGCTGCCTCTTCCCCTGAAATGTCCCTCCATCTCCTCTAGTCCAGTCATATGTAGGGTCTAGTCCAGCCTGTTCTCTGCTCTCCCACAGCCCCCTGCGTGTCTGTCTCTCACAGCACCCATAACAGGGACCTGTGACCCATGAGCCCTGGAACCGCCACCCAAGGAAGCTTATTAATCAATGTTGTCTTTATTATTAATATCCCACTCCCCAGAGCCTGCACAGGGCTTGGCACAAAGCAGGCATCCTGCCTATTCCTGGAGCGAATAATACACGAAGTTCCTCTTCCCAACGCTGCTTTCCATCCCGTCTCCTCTCAGGACGGTGGGAGGATCAGGGCCGAGGACTCAGCTGCCCGCCCTCCTGGGGCACGCCCCCCGCTTCTCCCCTTCCCCGCTTACCCACACCGAGCCGCAGGCAGCCGAGGGCCAGCAGGGCCCAGAGAGGAGGCATCGCCCTGAACAAGCCGCGGGAGCGCGAGCAGGGTGGTCCAGGGGGCCGGGAGCCCAGGGCCTCTCTGGGTCCGCGCACCTGGAGGCCGGGACCCGCCCTCGGCGCGCCCCGCCCCCGCCCGCGCCGGCCAATCCCTGGCCTCCTCGCGGGCTATTTGCATACGCCCTTCCCCGTCTACCCCGCCCCGCTGCGTGCCTGAGGCACACACCTGCCCCGCGGGACCTTCCCCGCCCTTTACCGAAGCGCCTACTGTGTGCAGAGGCTGGGGCGGCGCTTTCACAGCGTCTCTCGCCTTTTCATCCTCTCTTTGAGCGGCCCTTTCCACACTGGGAAACGGGGGCGCTAATTCGTACAGCTATTTATAGAGACCCTGCTAAGTGCCAGGTACTGGCTGGGCTCTGGTGGAGATGGACCAGGTTAATCAGAGAAAGTGCCGTCGTGGAAACCTTGAAGTCCCGGGCCTGTGAGCGATCCGGAGACCCCGCGGTGTGACCCTTTGTGTTCACAGGTCCGAGGCCAGGGCCGCACACGGACTCCCGGACACGCCCAGACGGGAGGAGCCCAGTCCTGCCTCCCAGCCCCCGCTGTTTCAAAAGGCCTGCTGCCCAGGGGAGAGTTTGAGAACAGTGCCGTGGGCTTCACCTGGTCTAGAGGGTTCCTTCCAGCATCAGGAATCGTGCTTTTCTCAAACAGCACCTTAAATATTACATTTTTCATTGAAGACATAAGCCAAGGAGGATAGGAGAAAACTAAAATTGGAAACCAACAGAAAGTGTAGCGTGAACGACATAACCCCGTGCAGAAAAATACCGTGTCTGAAACTCCGGAAGGCTGGTCGGGCAGCACTCCCTTGTAGAGAGCACTGTAAGGGCAAAGAGGACTCTAGCAGAGCCCTGGTCCGCAGGCGCGGGGTGGTGGGGAGGGCAGAGCAGTTCTGTAGCAACTGGGTATAACTGGGGTCAGGACCCAGGCCCTCACCACAGGATGAGGGAGATTTGGAAGGGAGGAAGAAGAACTTCTGGAGTTTTCTATTAGTAGTATTGTTATAACAAAATAACACCTCCTTAGCTCTGTCTGCTCCCCCACTTAGCACTCTGGGTCCTGAAACAGCGGTCCCCAGTAAAAGGCACCAAGGTCCCTTGGAGACATGGTGACTCTGGGGCTGGGACAGGGAGTATCAAGAGGAGCCTAGGGGCGCCTGGGTGGCTCAGTTGGTTAAGCGACTGCCTTCGGCTCAGGTCATGATCCTGGAGTCCCGGGATCGAGTCCCGCATCTGGCTCCCTGTGCCGCAGGGAGTCTGCTTCTCCCTCTGACCCTCCCCCCATCTCATGTGCTTTCTCGCTCTCTCATTCTCTCTCTCTCAAATAAAATAAATAAAAAAAAAAAATTAAAAAAAAAAAAAAGAGGAGCCTAGACACTAAAGGTTTCAAAGATGATGTGGTTATGTCCAAGGTGCTGGCACAGAAGGGGCTTGAAGGGGCTCCAGCAACCCGACGATGGAAAGTTTGCACACAAAATAAATGGTGGAAGCAACATATTTAGCCCATTGGATGAAACATGAATCCATGAGTCAATACTGGTACTTTTAAAAAAGAAGTGGTAAAAGAGAACATTTTTCTTCAAAGAAGAACACCAACTAATAAACGTACAAGGAATGACAAAACAAAAATCACCATTCTGCAAACATCTTGATAATAACGGGTTTCAGGAAAGAACCCTCTCAATCAATGTGAAAACCGTAGATGAACGATTTTTTAAGGAACAAGAGGTGAAGGAATCTGGGGATGTCAATTTAGTGAAGTAATTGAACCTCACATCACCAAGAATGGGGTGGGTTGACCTCATGTGCTTCCTGGGTCATGCCTCTGAGAAGGGCTCAGGACCGTCTCTGTAGTGCTCCCATCCAAAAACTCTAACCTGAATCCAAACAAGAGGAAACAATCGGACAAATCCAAATTGAGGGATTTCCTGCAAGCCAGCTGGCCTGGATGCTTTGAAAATGTTCATATCAGCAAAAGCAGAAGCAAATACCAAAGGCTGAGAACCGTTGTAGATTGAAGGAGACAGACATGACAACTCACTGCCCCTTGTGACCCCGGATTAATTCTTAATAAAAACAACCTATGGGGTGCCTGGGTGGCTCAACTGTTTCAATGGCCGACTCTTGGTTTCGGCTCAGGTCATGATCTTGGGGTCCTGGGATGGAGCCCCATGCCGGGCTCCCTGCTCAGCGGGGAGTCTGCTTCTCCCCCTGTCCCCTCCCAAATATAGGGATATTCATTGTATTGTTCTTGAAATGTGTCTATAGTTTGAATTTTGCCCAAGTAAAAATGTTTTTAAAAACCAAACATGCTGCTCCTCTCTCTGGGCCTCAGTTTCCCCTCTGTTACATGGGAGGGGTCCAATCGCCGGACCTCTGACATGCTGAGTGGATGGTCAGATCCTTATCGCCGGGGGACAGAAAGTAACAGAAAGTCTCTGCCCCAGAGATAGGGATCTCTTGGGCAAAGCAGTGGGGGTTCCTCCAAGAATTTTTATGGGCTGACATTTCTCGTCCAGTGATTGTTTGTGAACCCGGATTTGAACAGGGACTGGCCGAGCTGATCACAAAGGCTCAGCCCAGAATCACCCACGAGAGGGAGAAGACCCCAGGCATGTTTGTCTTCTCCCAGACACTGCAGTTCCTCATGAAAAAAACATAAAAAGTCCTCCGGTCTCGTCTTGCCCAAATATGGCGAGAACATCTGGGGAAAAGAGTTAAAATAACAATCTGCTAAGGCCCCAAAACATTCTGGGAAAAAAAAAAAAAGTCTTGGATTTAAAAACAAGTCTCCACTTCAAAGACGCCGAGTTTTGTTTGGCCAGTTCTGAAGAGGCGCAAGTGTAGGAGAAGGAAGTCGTGGCACATTCATCTAGGAGACACCCAGGCTAGTGTGCGTGGAGGGAAACAGGAGACAGGGGGTCCCCGACACCAGTCCCCTCCTGCTGCAGCCCAGCGCCCCGGGTGCACATTCCAAAAACATTTTTGCCAAAAAAATACATATTTTTAAAAAATTTTCCCTTTTTGATCAAGCAAATTCCAGGGCAACGAGCTTCAGTCTGACTTTAGATCTGTTTACATACCTCAGTGCATCAGACCGTCTCTGTGAACCCTGGCCCAGATGACAAGCTTGTCAGGAGGCCACCAAGCGGGAAGTTCTGTGATGTGAAAGGTTATGCAAACCCCAGCCCTGCACAGGCCTCCTTTGAATTTGAAACGTGGGGAATTTATGGGTTGGAAATTCTTGACCCAGAAATGTTTCTTCCAGTACCAGAGAGGCCTGAGACGGTTTCCACTACTCTTTTCTTTAGAGGTCAGAGACGTTCACCCCAGCAGGTTCTGGCTTTTAGTGTTTGCTACATCCCAGAGGTCCTGAAAGCCAAGCTTTTGAAAGCACTCAGACTCAGTCACTTTGACCCTAAACGAAACGAAACGCAAGGAAAGCACCCCAAGCCCCGGGCTTTGGGGGCTCACGGGTCCACCCCCAGCTCCAGGTTGCTCCCAGCAGCCCCCATCTCTCCCCTGGGCTCCAGACACCTGTCCTGCAGAGCGTCCCCACCTTGGTGGTCCCAAAGGATCCTGTCCCTTTCCAAAGCCTTAGTTTCTTTTTCAGTAAATCTGGGATATCGAGGTGCCCCCTTGCCAAGCAGAGGCATAAAGTGCAGTCAAGGGGTGAACGTGCTCTGTGACTGGGGCGCTGGGCAGGGCTGGAGGGTAAAGATATCTCTCCCCCAGCCTCTGGGCCGCCACCCTCTGCCCAGCGCGATAGGGCTTGTCCTGCCCTCACCGGGTTGTCCCAGGCCCCCCTTTCTGGCCCCTCTCACGCCGAATCCAACTTTATTCAACAGATATGTCCTAAGTGCCTCCTGTGTGCTGGGCACACCAGTCCCCCCGGTGACCCAAACCTGTCTCTTCCTTCCTGGTCCAGCTACGCCGCCTGCATCGTATTAGTTTGCTAGGGCTGTAGACGCAAATACCACAGGCTGGGCGCCTAAGCCCCAGAGACTTAGTTTCTCAGAGTTCTGGAGGCTGGAACTCTGAGATCAAAGCGTGGGCAGGGCTGGTTCCTCCTGGGGCCCCTGCCCTGGGCGTGCAGACGGCTGTCCGCTCCCCCTGTCCTCGCTCGGGCATCCCTCTGTGTGGGGTCTGTGTCCTGACCCACTCCTCTTGTAAGGCCCCCAGCCAGACTGGGTTAGGGCTCATCCTAATGACCATATTTTACCTTAATTACCTCTTCCAAGTCCCCGTCTCCAAATACAGTCACGTTCTGAGGTCCTGGGGTTGAGGACTTCAGCCTATGGATTTTGGGGGGAGGGGGACACAGTTGACTGGACAGATGGGTGTGTCCAGTGACGCCCAGGTAGGAAATAGGGAAGCAGATTTTAAACTTAGGTCATGGGACCCCATGGGACCCCATGCGGCCCTGCCTCCTCCTGGGTCTGCTCTCTCACCTGTCTGCTCTCCGGGGCCTCTCCACCCAGAAGTCACGAAGACATTTCTAAAGTATAAATCTGGCTGTCACCTCCCTCGTGCAAAACCCCTTGGGGGCCCTGACTGTCCTCAGGACACAGCCACGCTTCTGGCCCTAGCGTCCAAGGCCCTGCATGGCCACTCATCTCCAGCCAACCTGTCTGCCTCCCCTCTTGCCCCCCATGCCTGGCACCAGCCCCATTGGACGCTGGTGTGTCCCCAAGCTCCCCACGCTCTCTCTTGCCCTTCGTGGTTCCAAAAACAAGGGCTTTCTCTGTTCTCCCCAACGTTGGTATCCACGACTGATGCTTTCTCAAGGCCCCTCCCCTGGACTGCTGCCCTGAAGCCCTTTCTGCACCCACTGGGCCCACTGCCTGGGGGGCCCGGGCGGTGCTCCTACGTGGAAGTCCCCTGGCCTCCAAGGCCCAGCCCCAATCCATCCTCCTCCAGAAGTCTTCCTTCCGTGGCTCTCCTGCGCGTGACCTGTAG